GGCCGTCCTCGGGCTCGTCTGGCGACGATCACCATGGATATGCTTGGTATTGCTCTCATACTCCCTGCTCGATCTGTTGTTACTATAGAGATTTACTAAATCATTTAAAGAGGATAATATAGGGGGTCTAACCATCTCTTTAAACCTTTTAAAACAATTTTAAGAGGAAAAAAGAAATTAACTCAATTCAAAAATGTCCATTCTCACAAATTAATAGAACTTACTTGGAGTTTATTCGCAATCGGGTGATACTACCGTGTGTCCCCGTTAACAGTTAACCCTTTTTCAAAGTATCTTTTTGTAATGTGGTAAGTGAGTGTTAATTAAGAACATTCTATCCGTTTCTAACATGTAAAGCACAAATGTTAAAATAACTTTTTTTTATTAAAAGAAAAAGACAGGTTAAAGATTGTAAACCTTTAAAATAGAGATTCACTAAATCATTTCTCTAGAAGACTTAACTTTTAATGAAGCATAATAATTCTTCGCACCGAACTCTAAAGAAGATTTCAAGAATTAATATAAAGCTTACCTGAAGGAAATTTCAATGTTAAAAAATAAATCTCTTAACGGATTAATCAATTTCTCTTTTACTAAAAATAAACTTACTGGTTCACCTTTTCTGGTATATTAATTTCTCTTAAAACAAAATGCCTTAATTTTCTCTCTCTAAATGTTACCTAAACTAGTGGAAATTAAGTAATCAAATTTTGTGTAATCATATTCTCACGTCCAAAATGACCGCGATGATCAATAGATTTTCACATAAAGTATACAAGCTCAATATTTCGGCTTATACTTTTATTCTAGGTTATCCTTTTGTTTTGAGAGAGAAAGGATGTGTCACGCTCATGGGGCCATAAAACTCCAAAGCGCCATCCTACTTGAAAGCGCCATCCTACTTGAACATCGTAGGTTTACTTTTCGCGTTCCTTCTTTTTAATTTTCTATAATTCTAGTATACTCCATAATTATATCTTCAATTATTTGTGATACTACTAATTAATATTTTTTATCTAAAATAGTCTGTTCTTGTAGGGTTTGGGTCTTCTCCACTGTTAAAAGATAGCGAAGAGATAATTGGTGATAATCACTGACTGATTTATATAGTGATGTCTTTGGGTGTAAAATAGAAATGAGGGCATGTGTTATCAATTTTTATGAGGAATTTTTTCCTTAATAACTATAATGGTGATATATCCTATGACATTGAAGCTATTCTCTCGTAAGAAAAATTCCCCAATGATCCAAAATATATTTTTACTCACAAATTTTTTACTCAACCAAAATATGACATTGTAATCTGAGGGTGTACACTATGATCCCTCGAACACCTCATACTCATTATTCTCCTAATAGTAATTAGCAAAGTGATCATTATGGTTTTTACTCACTCAAACAATTTCTTCACCAATGAAATTAAACCAGCTTAACGGCTCCGAATTTGACCAGGTCCTCCGTCCCATTCAACCACCCCTCAACGTTCGACACCCTCGCATCGACCCGCCCTCCGCACTTCCATTCCGCAACGACCTCCTCCGCTTCTCCGCCGGCCGCGGACTCTACGCCCGCAGTCGGCCGCCGCCTGGTAAGCGCGGTACCTCCTCACGGCCCCCCTGCGCACGCAAGACAGCTCATCGCCGCCATCGCCAAACTTCCGTCAGTTACGACCTCTACGACCTCAGTCACGCCGTCCACTCCAACTCCCACCTCCGCAAGCTCCTCATTCTCCCACCTCCCCAAATCCGTCGTCGTCGTCGGAGGACCCACTGCCTCCTCGACCTCTCCAACCGCCATGAAACCCTCCAGCCCTATAACCAACGACACGGCGGCGAGGCGACACGCGACTGCGCCGGCCCCGTTAGCATGCGGTGGCGTCTGTGAGCCTGTCGGGGGGTGAACTTCGTCGACGGGCTTCTGCGGTGCTCGTGTCGGGAGAGGCTGATTTTATTCACGACGAACCATCCGGATGAGCTCGACCCTCCGCGCTGCTGTAGCCCGTAGGATGGACCGGAAGATACATCTGTCTTATTGTGAACCGGCGGCGTTCAGGGTGCTGGCGAGGAATTACTTGGAGGTGGAGGACGGGCACGAGTTGATGGAGGAGGTGGAGGGGCTTCTGGAGGAGGTGAAGGTCACGCCGGCGGAGATTGCGGAGGTGTTCATGGGGTGTGATGGATGTGGAGCTGATTTTGGGATGAAAATGGTGGTTGAGGAGTTGAGGAGGAAGAAAGAGGCCATGTGTCCTCCGTTGTTGGAGGAGGAGGAGGAGGAGGAGAAAGGGGATAATGTCGATTAACGAGAGTGATATTGTTTTAATCTTATTAATAACGATTTAGTTTATCTTCTCAAGACTTTGGGTACTTTGTTTAACGATATAGTTCATGGATTCGCATAGGTTGGATGCTTGGATAAATAGATCACTTGATAGTATAGGTTGATCCGAAGGCATTCAATTTTGTAAGTCCTATATATATTATGTGTAACCAAAGCTGCAAACATTGCCAAATAGGTGGAAAATGTTGAACCAACTCCATCCTTACCGTCCATTCCAATTTCTAGGAATAAAACAGTCACATGTTACCTCTACTATCACGATGATGGTTTTATATTTTAGGTGGCTTTTATCTTTTATCACTTGAAACTAGAATAAACATGTAAGATGTAAACGCGTTAAGGACTTGGATATATACGTGAGATCCGTAGCTACACAGATGCTGATCCTAAACATTAAATAAGTACAAATGCTGATCTGTAGATACTTTTCTCTGCGACTCTGATCAAGTTGGGCTTTCCTCGAAGCTAACTGCCAAAAGCTCGCTACGAGTAACGAGTGACAGCATGCTAAGGAATAGCAAATTGGAATTTCAGCTCACATGAGAGATTTTCTTTTCTTTTTCTTATTTTTTCTTCCTCAAAAAGTTTCTGATCTCTATCAAAAGGATGACCGTTCACTTTCAGATACAGATAAGCTTTCGATTTCAGGCTACCCCTCAAGCTCTTTCATAGTAAGCACCACTTTATTTATCCTGTGGAAGACACATAATCATGGTCCATTGTTCGAAGGACGCCCTTTGCTTGTTTGAGTGGGCGTTGTCTTTTTCCCTGTGCTTGTTTCAAGTTATTTGAGTATTCAAACACGGCAAGTAACCAGTACCTCTCTTCGTGACTGCATATATAATATCAATTACATATTGTCAATATAACCATCATCTTGAAGTTTTTTATCCATTAATTAAAACTACAGCGTTCATCAATTATTCTCTCCCTGCAAAAACCAATACCAGCATACAATCGACAATCTTTGACGTCTGAGGATGTATACCTTGAGAATACACATTTGTAGCACCCTCAGTTCAACCACAAATGCTGCATCCTCATTGCAGAACTTTACTCTGAATAGCATTCTCTCTGGACTCCACAGTTGGAGAAAAGGCAGGGGAATCACCGCGAACTGGGCTTGCTCATGGCTTTTCATCGGTTTGAGGAAAGCTGGTGAACTTTCGTAACAATGAAGGGAGATTGGATTCACTCTCTAGAGATTTGTCGGTGGCTTGAGGAAAGCTAGTTGAGTCGCTTCGCATTGGTGAAGGATGCTGCTCTGATAAACTCTCCCATGAGAACATTCTGTGGGTTTGGTTCTTTCGATTCAAGAATGCTGGCCTCATCGGAGATTGCATTCCTTCACTCTTTTGGATTAACATGGCGACTACCTCCGACATTGGTGGCCTTGCGGTAGGAAGTGGTTGGAGACAAAGAAAAGCTACTTGACAAGTTTTAAGCACGTCAGCTTCGAATATTCCATCGGCTTGTAGTTTAGGATCAACCAAATCAATTACGTTCGATTTTTCATATAGTCTCCATGCCTACAAGCATCACTTGCATTAGTAACTAATGTACATAGGTTACTGATAATTTTAGGATAACAACCTACATATTCTGGAAGGTACTGCATCTCAGCAGAAAGCGAGAGGTCTGTGTTCTTTCTAGAGCTAATGATCTCGAGCACTAGAACACCAAAACTGTAGATGTCTGCCTTTTCTGATAGCTCTCCTCTGATAGCATATTCTGGTGCAGTGTAACCTCTGAGAGAGAAGCGTTAGGATCTTATAAAATGTCTACATTTTCCATGGAATGCAAGCATAAAGGAATTTTGAAAACAATTGACCATTGAACAACCCAGGAAAGGACTTCAAGATTCAGTTCATTTCTTTTGGACTTTCAAGATCAGAAATATATATCCAATTATAAATTAGGATAAGATTTATGCTTCTCCTGACGCTAGAATGCTCATTGCAGCTTATATCTGATGATGTTGGCTAATGATATGTTCCCGATGTCTAGCTTAAAGATTTTGAAGTATTTTAGAGGGGTAGATAACCAAACATGATAAAAGAAATCCCTGGAACAAGCATATTTTATCAGTTGGTTCTAAATTACAAATACAGATATTTGATGAGAAATACTGTAAGTATTTGAGTAAGAAGAATTATAGAAACTTACAGTGTCCCAGCAAATGTTGTGCTGAGATATGCTTGGTCTTCTGGGAAGAACCTGGCCAACCCAAAATCACCAATTTTAGGTTGAAATTTATCATCTAGGAGGATATTACTGGCTTTGATATCTCTATGAACAATCCTTAAATTTGAGTCTTCATGCAGGTACTGTAAGCCCCTAGCTATGCCAAGAATTATCTGAAACCGGATCTTCCAGTTGAGAAAAATTGCATGGCTTCCTGTTTCATTCAACTATTAATATAATCGAATTACTGACTTTGATATTTTCTATGTAGTAGCTTACTAAACAACAATTTAGAAAGATAGTAAAATCTGAAGCAATTATATTGTCATCAAACCTCTAAAAAGATAATTTAATCATTCACAGAGATACATATAACAAGGTTTTCAAGTTGGTCGAACTAAAAAGAGACCAACATCAGATGAACCCTATTGATGGCAAAATGAAGACCCACTAACCAAGAGTCAGCAAAGTTACTCTCCCTTCTTACTAATTTGAGCCTTTGGAAAACCACCTATATCTGTTTATCTTTATTCTAACACATTTCTCATATGTCAATGGGAAAAGGGCAAATTTCACAAAATCCCAATGAAGTTTGGCCAATTTAAGACAATACTCCAAAATGTTTGGGAAATGTCACTTCATCCTGAAACATTTGCATTTTTCTGAATCTATTTTCAGGTAACCCCTACTTCCTGGGGGTTATGAGATTTTTTTGGGGGTTAAGTGGCATTTCCAAACTTTTTTGGGTGTTTTGGAGCCCCCCCCCCCGGGGGGGGCATTGCAAAATGGCCAACCTTCTTGGGCCTGAAAAGGATTTTCCCCCTAGAAACCACCTTAAAAATAGGGTAACAATACGGAAATCCTTTTACTTTTGATTTATACATTAAACCACCTTTAAAGTGGGTTTTTGTTGCAATCAACCACCTCCTAGTCAAGCTTTTCACTAAAAACCCAAAACTACCCTTGAAAAACTCACATTCACGACACGTCACTCATTTTGAAGTTTTTAAACTTATTTTTTGTTTTTTAGTGAAAATTTGACTGGGAGGTGGTTGATCGCAACAAAAACCTACTTTAAAGGATATGTATAAATTGAAAATAAAAGGTGGTTTGTATATAATTACCTTATTTTAAAAGTGGTTTCTAAAAAAAAAACTATTCCAGAAATTTAATAAGGATTTCATCACGTTGAGATACTGACCATATAGTATACTGTCCAAACTTTTATTCTTCATGTATTCATACACAAGTAGCCTTTGTGCACCCTCAGAGCAGCAGCCAACGAGGCGAACAAGATTCTTGTGCTGGATGCTGGTTATCATCCTTACTTCAGTGAGAAATTCAGACTCCCCTTGCCGAGATTTTCCAAGGGATAACTGCTTCACTGCAATCACTGTCCCATCATCCAACACTCCCTAATAGAAAAAAAAAGCTCAAGAATAAAAAAATAAAAAAATCTAGAAGTAGGATTAGCTTTCAGATAAAGAGCATGCCATTAATTCCCTAGTTACCTGATAAACTGGCCCAAACCCCCCACTACCAAGCTGGTTATTTGGATGGAAATTATTTGTTGCTCTCTTCAGAGTTCGGAAGTCCAAGTAGTTAATGGCTCGGAGATTACCGCTACAGTAATCTGGACCTGGTAGAATGCATGGCAAAGCAACTTCAGAACCATGTACGATAGACATTGTTCTTAATTTTAAATTTTGTTTATTTATATAAAATTTATAACCTGGAAGTTGTTTAGTGAACTTGAATAACTTCTGTAGTGTGTCTGGTTTCATATGTTTCCATAAGATAGCTACCAGGATTATAAGAATGACAACAAGTATTATGCTGACCAGAGAAAAGAACGAAGCTGTTGCAGCTGGAGATGCAGATGAAATATTGAGATTCAGAGATTTAAAAGTCACAGGCGCCAAAGCTGCAGAAATACACAACTAACAGTGAGTACTCAGGAACAGACAGATGCAGACTTGATCTCTTCATCCCTCCTCTTTTCGACCGCGAGTTATAAGTTGTACGACCGGAAGTTATAAGTAGTATCGACCAAATAACAAGTAGAAAATTTAGTCCAGAAGTCAACAGAACCTTATTTGTTACAGTAGGTCCATTACTTGGGTTATCTTGACAAAAATGACTTAGCTATCATGCAGAATTTTCTTTTCCCGAAATCAGGATTGAACCCTGATCTGTACTTTACCACGATATCAACCCCTGCTTGCTTCCACAATTAATTGTTCTTGATTTCTAGTTCAGATGGTTTTACAATATTTAACCACAATCAGAATTTTCCTTAATCCAATGTAAGTTTCAAAATTCCCTTGCTGAGTTTACTTTATTAGGAACCAAAAAAATAAGCTCAACAATAGTAGAAAACTTTTCCTCGTTTGCCTCTCTACATGATTCATCATGCGCAAATGTACATCAAAAAGGGAGAGGAAATATGATGCTGTCATGCTACTGAAACTTAATTTTTAATCAAGTCTCAAGATAAGAAGCATGTACATACTCGTCATCAATAATATGAAGTCGTGATATGTACAGTTATTTTTTTATCAATAAGTTTTAGTATACTAGACATCTCCATTTCTCAAACTCCATATAATTCAACATCACTATTGACAAACATTTTATGCCATCTAACGGGGAATAACAAGATGGATATTCTTGATAGAACATATTTGGATCAAATAAAATGAAAATACAAGTAACAAAATTGCACTCATCATTTAAGAATAGGAAAAGATACAAAAATGGGCCTCACACCCGAAAACCTCAAGTGCCAGCACTTCACATGCTACAATTCACATGCAGGTTTCTCACAAAATTCTTCTCTCCTCCTCCTCAAATGAAAAAAATACAATCATTATATAGAACTAAAACAAAATCCTAATCCTAACTAATAGACAAGATCAAATTACTCATCACAACAAAATAAGAAATTCATTCCCAAACTAAATAACAAACTCAATCCTAACTAAAGATCTCCACCAAAAGAAAAAGAGGTTTGCTTCGGTGCTCCAAAAATAGGCTTTTTTTTAAATTTTAAATTAACAAAAATAACAAATAAGCTAAAATAAGAAAGGATATTTTAGTCTTTCAAAATTCTTTTCTAATTGCTTTCTATCCTAAACGCAACCACTCTGTTGCTTTTTTTCTTTCTCATCACATGACATAATTACTTTAGAGTCTTTTAATCATCATCCAATTCCTTTATAGAGGCGAAGAACAATGAGCATAGCATAGTGTTCTATATAATTAAAAAAAATTAAAAGGAAAAAGATGGGGATACCTTTCATAGCGCCCCTTCACGAGAAATTTTGGAGAATAGGATGCGTCGTTGCCTTTTATAAACAATATATAAAAGGTAATTAATCAAGAGGACAAATAAGACTAGCAAAAATTAGCTTATAAACTAGGGAAATAGGATGAGTCGTTGCCTTTATCTTTCTTTGAACTATGAAAAGTGCGGTTGATTCCTCCCATGGACAAACAAAACAAAGCTACCTACCACCGAGTAAATGACCAAGACATCAGAATGAATTTGTGGATACTAGTGAATGTAAGCAATTAACTAATTTCCTTCAGCAATCAAAATTAAAAGTTCTAGTTGAAAGCACAAGAGCAAAACCACGGTAGAGGATTATGCTAAATTGAAATTAGTTAGTTGAAGAATTGTAACTAATCAACAATTCGGTTTCTCACCTAAATTGTATTTCCTAAAGTAACCTTTTAACCTATAGTTAATTACAATTTTGGGTGTGGAACACCTCCTAACTACCAAATCTATCTATCTAGAAATGTGAGAGCTATTTTTAAGGAATATATTTACAGATATGCCACCGGTGCTCCAACAATTTTTTATGGAGCACTGAAGCTGTAATCAAATCCTTAAAAAGAAACCCTAATCCAATCAGATCAAATATTTTTACCAGGTTCAGATCCGAATCTGTCCTGCATCGCCATCTCATCAATTGTACTATCTAACAAGCCATTCCGAATAATCGATCTTCATCTTATAAGATGTTAATGTTCGGAAGCTTGCAACGATCTGAACAGGACACGGGGATACAAAATCGGATACAAATCGGTATAGGACTCCTAACCTGAATAGAATATTAAAACAATCACAAAACTGCCATAACCGGCCTAACCGATTGGGCCGCCCGTTCAATGTGACCGGCCTGTGTACCAGTGCGCATGCGGCGAGGCGTGGCGTGCACGTGTGTGTGTTATGCAAAGCCCAAACAGTAGAAAACCCAAAACACCCCCTTCTTAGGGATCCTCAAAGCCCAATGAGAGGAGAAGCAATTTAAACCTTCAACTATTCATTGAAGGCAAAATTGCCTTTTGTCATTCTACAAGGCCAACAGTTTTCACCTCGTTTGCCTTCCCCCTTCAATTAAGACTTGTCTCCCGGCTGAAATACAAGGCTATCTCCCAACACTCCAGACGATGCTAAAGCTTCAAACCATGGACAACACCTCATCTAAATTACTCCAAAACCCAACTCTCAGTTACAACGCACTGATTTAATGACGAAACCCAATATTTTCCTACGTGAATTTGTGAAGCAAAAAACACAAACAGTTCATCGGCATAGTGACCCTCAAAGGGCTGCCTACCTTTACGCGGCGACTGTCGGACCATCTCCCACTCACCAACCAGCGGAGTCTTCTTCTAATTCTTCAACGCATAACATTTTGAATATTTTTGAAGGAGATTGTAAAAAGAGGTGGATGCCGAATGGAGGCAAGGGCAACGAACAAGGGAGAGGGTGGGGCCCGCTATCGCCATCGTTGACAGCGCTGAGAAGAGAGCAGGGCCACGTCTTTGGCTCATCGATAAATGGGCGGCGCGAACGAAGCAGCGGAACAAAAATTTTATCGGCATTTGGCGATTTTTGGTCGATGCCAGGGGGATGCGTAACGAACTCTGGTTTCCCATTAATATATGGGGGGAATAGCGCTTAAATTCCTCATAGTTCCACTAGCTTTACACTTATATATACATCCTAAATTGTTAAAAATTAGCATGTCAATGCCCTCTATTATGCATATGAAACTCCACCTGAATGTTTGCATATAACAGTTAGAATCAATTAGGATATGAGCGTTACATGAGAATATTCAAATAAAATTTTTCATGTTTAGAGTATATTAATGCTTCAGAAAACAAGTAAGGGTGTATGCGAAGTTAGTGAATATATAATGTTTAGCCTAGGACTGTCCATCCGGGCCGGCCCGGCCCGGAAAACCGGGCCCGACCCGGGCAAAGCTGGAGCCCGGACCCTAGCGCGGTTGCCCCGGGCCGGACCCGAGCTAGGGCCCAAGCGGGCCAGGCTCCAGGCCCATGCCAGGGCCCAAGCGAGCCGGCCTGGTTTCTTTATTAATTAAAATTTTTTAATTTTTTTAAATTTTAAAGAATACAATGCAAAAAATAAACACAAATTTGATAAAAATTTTATATTATTAATCAATTGTAATTATATAATTTATAAATATAAAAAATTATAGAAATTAAAATAATATAAAATAATTGTAGAATTTGTAGAAACAA